TCTAAGACGACCTTTGAAAAATGTTGCAATTCAGCTCGCTTCACGCGATGGTAATCCAAAACCTTATTGGTCTGTTGTTTAGCTTGTCTTGTTTTATTCCCCTCAGATCTAATTTACTTGGTTGTGTTGGCGAAGAATCGTTCAAGTTTTACTCTTTCTCAGTATTAAACCTGATTAAAACGCAACAGTTTTATTCCTACTGCCCGGTCGTTTGTTCCCATCACCCGATGACTCCCCATAATGTGCCCCCAAGGAGGTTTGAGTTATCGGTAGTCATCCGTATTTCAAGGATCGGAACAGATCCGTTGCGTGCCACTAAGTTGAGAGGGGTCTGAGCATTGAAAGAAGACACGCACATTGCATATCTCTACAACCTCGTGAGCTCTTATCGTTTTCACTTTTTCGCTACTTCTTCGTCTTCTGTGCATGAAATGTTTTTTTTCAATTCTATTACTCAGGGAATTTCCACGAGGCCCAGAATGATGCAACGGCTGCCGTCAATTTGGAACCAACTTTGATTAAGGCCATAGAAACAGGTAAAATCCTTGACTCAGCTGATTTATAACATGAATTTTACAAAAACTGCAGAACTTATCGCGCGCTCGTTGGCTAATTTTCGATGTCAAGAAGCAAACAGACGCCTGAATTTATAACTTACGCGATGTTGACGCGACGGGCAAAAGCGGCTGAGCGGGCAATTTGACAATTTATTAGTGTGAAAAAACAAATTGACGCCAGTTTTTCATGCGTCTGTCCTGTCATTGACAATAAATTTCGTCATAACATTGTCAAAGTAGCTAGTCTTTGGATCCACTCGGCTATCACCTCGTGGATCCACAGCTTTTTTTTGACAATGTTATGACGAAATTCATGATCAATAACAGGACAGACGCATGAAAAACGGGCTTCAATTTGTTAAGTCGACAGCTATCGCATCGAATTCTTCAAACGCAAATGACATTAATATGTTTTCAACAATATTCCGTCGCATGAGCCTCCATTGCAAGCTATTTCGAGTCCAACACCAAATTACGAATGTGGCTTTTTACAAGAATAAATCAGGTTTTGGATGTTTCCACCTGTGCATTGTAGATAGTATTTTTTGACCTGATATTAAATTATTTATTGCAGGTGCAAGTGCTTGTGAGCACCTACAGTGTTATGGAGATGCCATATCGTGGTGTGAGAAGGGATTGGTAGTATCCTTTATAACATCAATTATTCATTTTCTTTGCCAGCTGAAAGGGGAACTATCATGTTACCTATAGAGATTCCAGCGAAAGTTTTCTAAGGGGTAAATGACAAAAAGCTGTGTTGTCTCTGCCTCATATATATGCCGCTAAAATCCCACTAAGCATAATAGGGCGTCAAGAAGCCTTATAGCTGTGGTTATGGTAGCCTCAGGCTATTTACAAAAGTCACAATGATTTCAAAGTAAATTGTAATTGGAAAAACCTAAGGCTTCTATCAAACCCCTTCTCCATTATACAGTCTTGGGAGTTTGAGTTGTTACTTCAAGGGGCAACGTGATTGAAATTCTCATCAGAAGAAACGAGTAGTCATCTCCGACTTAAAGGAAGAATAGTTTTAGGAAATAACATAGAGTTTGGAACCCAATTTTTATACGCTCAGTTGCTTGGCAACCCACAGAACAACTTAGAGAGTAAAGTGTGTAATTGTAAC